CATAACCGCCCCATTGCACCATCGGTTCAATTTTTTTCGCCCCATTCGATTCGGGTAATCGTAATTTTCGATTTTCACGTGTGAATTGCCATCCCTACAACTCACTTATGTATTTCCCACTTTTAAGCGTTAATTGCACGCTAGTATTAATCTTCGCCGGTATTAATCCACTCTACGCTCTCTTTCCCTTATTGCCCTCTTATCATTTCTTCATCTCCAAACACCCCTTTCTCCTTTGTCCTCCACACTCTTATCTGTGCCCAGGAATCCTTCCGGCCCTGTCCCCTCTTTAATCCATACGGTTTACTCTTAGTTTCATTTTTTTCCAAATTGTTTGATAATTTCAGATCTGAAGTTTTTTTTTTCTACAAACATTCATTGTTTAGAAGAAAATTTATAGATGTCGGTTTCTTCATCATACTGGTGTTACACATGCGACCGATTCGTTACCGTTTGGACCCAGGATTCCGTCACTTGCCCCGATTGTAATGGTGGGTTCGTGGAAGAAATCGACACTCCTGACCGGCGCAGCCGTTTCCCCGCTGCCTCCATGTACATGATGGAAACCCCGGAACCCAGTCCCCGCTTGGGGTCGGGATCCAGCTCGAGGCTCAGAAGGAGCCGCAGGAATGGGGGTGACCGTTCACCTTTTAACCCGGTCATCGTGCTCCGTGGGCCGAACGAGGGAGGAGGTGGACCGGCAGCTGGAGGATTTGAACTGTATTACGATGATGGAGCTGGAACAGGTTTGCAGCCGCTGCCTGCTAGTATGTCTGAGTTTTTGCTCGGATCGGGTTTTGACAGATTGCTAGACCAGTTGGCTCGAATTGAGGCTAATGGTATCGGGCGAATCGACATTAATCCTCCAGCCTCAAAGGCCGCTATCGAATCGATGCCCACAATTGAGATAATTGATGAGCATATTGCCACTGAGTCTCACTGTGCAGTTTGTAAGGAGGCTTTCAAGCTGCGAAGTGAGGCTCGAGAAATGCCTTGCAAGCATTTATACCATCAGGATTGCATCTTACCGTGGCTGTCATTGAGGAATTCGTGTCCAGTTTGCAGGTATGAGTTGCCCACTGATGGTAATAACTATGGTAATAGCAATAGTGACCCAAGTGAAGTGCATAGAGGAGTAAACGAGGTGGGGAGTGGTGATGAGACTGTTGGATTGACGATATGGAGATTGCCTGGTGGTGGGTTTGCTGTGGGCCGTTTTTCGGGAGGGAGGAGGGATGGGGAGAGGCAGTTGCCAGTGGTATATACTGAGATGGATGGTGGGTTTAATAACAATGGCGTTCCAAGAAGGATTTCGTGGGGCTCTAGAGGGAGTGTGTCACGGGAGAGGGGTGGATTCAGGAGGGTTCTGCACAGCTTGTTTGCTTGTTTTGGCAGGGGTAGACCATCAACTTCTAATTCTAGCTTGGATTATTAAACAATTTGAAGGATCGGCTTGTTTCTATGAGGTTTGGGATCTACAAGTAGAGGATGAAGTTACTGATGGAAACAGAAGATGATGGTGAATTTTGAAGCTCGTTGCTAGTATAGCAATTGGTTTTGGGGGGAATCAATATAGGTGGAAGACTTTGTTATCATACATTGTGAATCAATGGATATAAAATAGTTAATGATTGCTCTTGAGCTTTGTCTTCTGTTGAAGAATTATTGCTGCAGTTTGAGAAAAAGAATTGAAGAAGAAGAGACAAGAGGGACTAATTCATTATGCGAGAGGATGGTGTTGGTATCAATGGCTTCTGAGAACTAGGAAGTAGAAGGTACCAAAGCACTTGGACTTCTTATACTTCTCTTTATTTCTGCAATTTATAGTTAGCTTTGACACCGCTGTTATTATGGTTAGTTATTTATGTTCTGTAATCTATTACAGGTGGTCTAATTAAAGTTTTGAGTATGTGTTCATGTTTTTATATATCCTACCATGGAAGTTTAGTGTAAAAAAACACAGATTTTATTCATATTCAAAAATTGGATGGTGCTGTAGGAGCCTCATTCAATGAAACTCATTTTTTCCAAAATCATTTTTAATCAAACCTCTCCCAATAAAATAATTTTATACGAAAATCCAAACCCTCAACAATTGTTTTTTAAAATCAGCTTCACATACTGGAAAAGACAATCTATATGAATGTTATCATGTTGTTTTCTTGTAGAAATGTCTGTTTGCTATCCATTGGAAGGTTGTAGCTATACTGCTCTCATTTAAAGTGTTGTCTAATCTTGCAACCTACAGCTTCACATTGTTATATACTGAAAAAGGCAATCCATATTAGTCCTGTTTGGCCCCATTAAAATTAAAATTAAAATTTTTCTCTCTCCTTATTAACCACACACTCCCATAAAATAATATTACACTTAAATCCAAAACAACTTCTTCTCTTTTAACCGCCCATTTTTCAAAATAACATTATTTCAAAAATTATAATCAAATAATGAGGACAACTCCCATTTATTACTGCTGTTCCATCTTTCAACTTACTATTATTGTTCACGATCAGCTTCATATGGTTTATAGACACTTCAACTAAGCTAACGTGTTCGTGTCGGACACGTGTCGATATCGATATTTTTTGATATGGTTTATAGACACTTCAACTAAGCTAACGTGTTCGTGTCGGACACGTGTCGATATCGATATTTTTTGGACACTCTATTATAATCATTTTTTTTAAACTAGACATATTAATGTTTTTAATTATTAATTAATAAATAACAATTATAAAACTAAATTTATATTATATAAATGAAAAAAAATCTTATCAATGTCGACGACTTGTCGTGTCTGTACTTTTTTTGAAAAATCACATTTCGTGTCGGTACATCGTAAGTTTATATCCTGGAAAAGGCAATCCATATTAGTGTTTTGCCTATGCTGTTTCCTTGAAGAAATGTCTGTTTGCTATCAATTCGAAGGTTTGTAATTGTTCACTATATGCTTTACATCTATATTAGGCCTGTTTGATAGGTGCCATTTTCCATGGAAGTTGAACCGGTGAATGGAGATCTAGGCTGATGATAGAAAAGAAGGTGGGAAGAAAATATCTCTAATTGGATTGATTGAAGGAATGAATAACAGAAGAAACCGTAGCCCTTATTTATACAATTATCAACTAACTAAACTAATTGGAAATGATGAAAAGATATAAATACCTTTCAATCTATTTTACATTTCAACACTCTCTCTCAAGATGGCTAGTGTATATTTAACACTCCCATCTTGCCGAGTAAAGTAGTGAATCAATTTCCAGTCAAAGGCTTAGTTAACAAATCTGTTAGCTGTTGTTGAGAAGTGATATGTAGCATCTTCACTTCATTGGCTTAAACTTTATCCCTTATCAAGTGACAATTAATTTCTATATGCTTGGTCCTTTCGTGAAAAATGAGGTTGCTTGCTATATGTATAGCAGCTTGATTATCACAAAACAACAAAGCTGGCCTGGTATGAATCACATTCAGATCAATTAATATGTTCTTTAGCCAGACGAATTCACACACTACAGCAACCCAATAATCTATATTCTACTTCTGCTGAAGATTTGGAAACAGTATGCTGCTTTTTAGATTTTCATGACACTAAAGAATCTCCCAAGAATATACAATAGTTAGTAATCGATCTCCTTGTATCAGAACATGCTGCGCAATCAGCGTCACAGAATCCCTTGAGCTGAAGATCAGATTTACTGGAGAAAAATAAGCCCTGCCCTAGTGTGCCTTTTAGGTACCTCAAAACGTGATAAGCTGCCTCTAGATGCGGTTGCCTAGGTGACTGAAGAAATTGGCTTAGAACTTGGACAACATAAGACAAATCTGGCCTAGTTATAGTAAGATACATAATTCTCCTAATCAGTCTTCTGTAAACACTTGGATCAGCAATAGCTTCTCCCTCGTCTTTCCTCAAGTTCAAATTGCAAGGTAAAGGGCTATTTGAAGGTCTTACTCCAAGGTAGCCAGCATCTGCCAACACGTCTAAAGTATACTTTCTCTGACAAATGGTTATTCTTGTTGAGCTTCGTGCTACTTCGAGTCCCAGAAAATATTTTAGGATTCCTAGATCCTTACGCTTGAACTTCTCATTCAGTTCATCCTTAAATTGTTTGATGTGGGACAAATCATTTCCCTCGATTATTTTATCATCTACATATATCAGAAGAACGGTGAATGAGCAGCCATTGATCTTGCTAAACAAAGAATGATCAGACTTTGACTGCCTGAATCCTTGTGACAGTATGTAAGAGGTCAGCTACATGTTCCATTGCCTTGAAGCTTGCTTCAATCCATAAATTGATTTGTTTAGCTTGCATACCAACTGTTTTCCTTGCTCCCCCTGCTGCTCATAACCTGGAGGCAAACGCATATAGAGCTCCTCATTTAACTCTCCATGTAAGAAGGCATTATTGATAACTAACTGATGAAGATGCCAGTTTAGGGAAGCTGCCACTACAAAAAAGGTTTTTCACAGTTACCAACTTCGCAACGGGAGAAAGGTTTCTTCATAGTCCAACCCAACCTGTGGAGTGAAACCTTTGGTAACCAAACGTGCCTTCTTCCTGTCCTATGTACCATCAGACTTCATCTTAACCTTGAAAACCCATTTGCAATCAACTGGAGTTTTATGATCAGGAAGTTCAGTGACCTCCCAGGTATTATTGGATATTAAGGCATTATATTCAGCATCCATGGCTTCAATCCAATCTGGATATTGGGAAGCCTCAGTGTAATTTCTATGCTAAAAAACAGTGGATAAAGCCAAAGCATAACTCTTGTGAGTAGGAGACAGCATATCATATCCCAAATAGGCCTCAATGAGATACTTCTTGCTAGACTCAGAACCTTCCTTCGTGGAATCTGATTTAGATATAGGCACCTGAGGAATAAGACTACAATGATAATCTTTTAAGTAAGAAGGAGCATGTTTAGGTCTAGCAGATTTTCTGGTAGCAATAGGCTGAGGTGAGGAATGATTTTCAGGTGTGCTGTTGGTTGAAATCAGAGGTAATGATGTTGTAGGAGAATCAATAGAAGAATTTTCTTCAAGAGAGGAAGAATACTGACTAGGAAAATCTTGATGTGCTGATGTATTGACAGTATTGAAAGTAGCAGTGGGAGGAAAGGCATCAATATATGATTGAGAACTAGTAGGAAACATGGAAAATGAGTTGAAATAGTAGTATTTGATTTGGATAAAGATGCAAGGAAAGTCGGATGATGGAAATGGAAAATATTCTCAAAGAATGAGACATCTCTGGAGATAAAAACAGCTTTGGTATGAAGATTGAGTAGTTTATATAGGCTTTCATTCCAAATGGATAGCCAAGAAAAATACAAGGGACAGCTTTAGGATCGAACTTGGTTCTATTCCTTCTCAGAGTAGAGGCATAGCGTAAACACCCAAAAACCTTGAAGTGGCTGTAAGAGGGTGCAACCTGGAACATCATTTCGTATGGAGATTTGTTTTGAAGATGTTTGTCAGGTGTTCTGTTGATGATGTGCGTAGCTGTAAGGATACAATTTCCCCATAATTGTTTTTGTAAATTGGCTTGGAATTTGAGGGCACGAGCTATGTTAAGCAGGTGTTGATGTTTCCTTTCAACCACGCCATTTTGTTGTGGCGTTTCAACACAACTAAGTTGATGAATAATACCTTTAGAGAGGTAGAATTTAGGCATCTTGAACTCCTGACCATTATCAGATCTGATAGTCCCTATATTGCAATGAAAGTGGGTTTGAATAAGATAGTAGAAGGATTGAATAAAAGTTCTGGCTTGAGATTTGTTTCTCATAAGATAAGTCCAGGTCATTCTACTATAGTAATCAACTATAGTTAAGAAATATCTTGAGCCATCTAATGAGGGAACTGAATAAGGCCCCCAAATGTCATAATGTATGATCTCGAATTTTTATAAGGTTTTCGTTTTACTGTTGGGAAAAGGCAATCAGTGCTGTTTGGCTAAAGGACATACAGTACAGTGTATCTCCTTATTGACATCAATGTTAGGTATAAACTTATGTAAAAAGGAAAGTTTGGAGGTAGGTAAATGTCCTAGTTGACAATGCCAGATATCAATGCTCATTTTGACATTAGTACCGTCAATGTTATTACAAACATGAATATATTTATTACAATCAAAAGGAAAACTAGAACTGAAGACAACATTAGGAATGGCAGCAGACTGTCTGGTGTTGAAATTAGCAGAATCAGATTTGAGTTGATGATGAAATGAAGGCTGAACTTTGATCCGAGGCTTAGATTGATGGAAATGGTATAGTCCATCCTCAAGGTTGCCTACTCCAATCATCTTCCACGTTGAAAGATCCTGAATAAAACAAGAATCATGGAAAAACATCAGGCAGCAATTATGTTCAAATGTCAATTTACTAACAGATATTAAGTTGAATTTGAAAGATGGCACAACTAGCACA